GAGGAAAGATTCTTTTCCACTTCCCCATGGACAATAGAAGAAATAAAAAAGAACAAGAGCTATTTAGAAAAAGGAGAAAAACCTAGATGTATGTATATATATATATGCATGTGCGTGTCTGTGAAGTGTGACCAAAGTGTAAGTAGGAGTAGCAAGATATCCCTGTTATCTTAGCGTGTTTATGAGACAGAAAAAGAAACCAGCAATCCTACCATCATGCAAAACAGTTACAGGTTTTTGTTTCACAGTCATCTGGCAGGACGGTAGTACTTCCCTGGGTGGTTGCTGTCTACCAACCTACTACCTATAACAGTATAATAAACAGTATAATACTGTACTAATAACAAAATGGTTATGGAACTTCATCTTGTTTGGCATTTAATCCTAAAAATCTTCATACAACTGAGAAAAACCACATTTTGAAAAACAACATGAAACAAAACTGAAAATACTTCAACACAAGTTTTTTTTTTTTTTTTTTCAACAAGTCGGCCGTTTCCTACCTAGGTAGGGTGACCCGAAATACTCATAGTCTTGTTTCATCTGTATTTTGATTATATATGGATTTTCTGAGTAATTTACAGTTATGTCATATTTTTATTTATTTTTTTTTTTAACAATTCGGCTGTCTCCCACTGAGGCAGGGTGATCCAAAAAGAAAAAATCCCCACAAAGAAAATACTTTCATCATCATTCAACACTTTCACCTCACTCACACATAATCACTGTTTTTGTAGAGGTGCTCAGAATACAACAGTTTAGAAGCATATACGTATAAAGATACACAACATATCCCTCCAAACTGCCAATATCCCAAACCCCTCCTTTAAAGTGCAGGTATTGTACTTCCCATTTCCAGGACTCAAGTCCGGCTATATAAAAACAACTGGTTTCCCTGAATCCCTTTATTTATTTATTTATTAATTTGAACATGATACAAAGAAGTACAAAAAATACAGTACTTAATAAGTGTAGCATGCCAAAGCCCCTTGTATGCAGAGCATTATGGGCAGGCTTAAAATTAACTTAAGATTAACTAAGCAATGATATATTCACTGGTAAAACATTATTGTAAACAGATAACAATTAAGCACAAATGAATATTTCGAAGACAGGTCATATGGTCATTGCTGTGCTTTCAGTAGAATGGAGTAGTATTTTGTTAGGTAATGTAATTAAAAGGTACAAAGTTTGATTGGGTCACAGGTTAAACATTTATGAGATACAATTATTCAGTATTTATTTAGGTGAGGGTGAGTAAGTGATTTTTAAGAAGAGACTTGAATTTATAAACAGACAGTGTTTCTTTTATATTCACAGGTAATGAATTCCAGATTTTTGGGCCTTTTATGTGCATTGAGTTTTTGCATAGTGTGAGATGGACTTGAGGAACATCAAAGAGTGATCTGTGCCTTGTGTTTTGGTCATATGTTCTGTTGAGGTTGTTAAGGAGACATTTGAGGGGAGGGTTTATATCAGAGTTAAGTGTTCTATGTATGTAGTAGGTACAATAATAAGTATGGATGTTTTGTATGGTGAGTAGGTTTAGAGTTTTGAATATTGGTGGAGTGTGCTTCCTGTAGTGGGAATTTATCATCATTCTGACTGCAGCCTTTTGTTGGGTAATTAGTGGTCTGAGATGGTTTACTGTTGTTGATCCCCATGTACAAATTCCATAGGTGAGATAGGGGTAAATAAGTGAGTGATATAGGGCCAGGAGGGCTGGCTGTGGAACATAGTACCGTATCTTCGATAGTATGCCTACAGTCTTGGAAATTTTCTTGGAAATTTGTTGTGTATGTGTTTGAAATTTGAGTCTACTATCAAGGTAGATTCCTAAGAATTTTCCCTCTGTTAGCTTTGTGATAGGTGATCCGTTTATCATTATGTTAAGAGGGACATCTGTAGCTCTGTTACCAAACTGGATGAAGTAGGTTTTGTCAATGTTGAAAGTAAGTTTGTTAGTCCTCATCCAGGTAGATATTTTCTGTAATTCGGTATTCACAGTATTGGCTAGCATGACTGGGCTCAGGTGAGAGAAGACGTATGTAGTGTCATCTGCAAATAGTGTGGGTTTGAGTAGTTGTGATGCATTTGGTAGGCCATTTATGTAAATGAGAAAGAGAAGAGGGCCAAGGACACTTCCCTGTGGGACACCAACTGTAATTGGCTGTGCGGAAGAGTTTGCCCCATTTGTGTACATATATTGACTTCTGTTGTTGAGGTATGACTTTAGGTAGTTGAGGGAGTGCCCTCTTACGCCATAGTGTGACAATTTTATGTGGAGCAAGTCATGGTCAACTGTATCAAAAGCTTTACATAAATCAATGAAGATCCCCAGTGGGACTTCTTTTTTCTCTAGTGCAGTGTATATTTGTTCTAGCATGTGTATAATAGCATCATTCGTATTTTTATTAGGCCTGAACCCAAATTGACAGGGGTTGAGTATGTTGTGAGAGATGAGGTAGGAATAGATTTGCTTATGAATTAATTTTTTGAAGATTTTAGAGAGAGCGGGTGTAAGTTGGATATTGGCCTATAGTTACTCAAGTCTGTTTGGTCTCCTCCTTTATGGATTGGGGTGACCCTCACTATTTTGAGAACTGTAGGGAAGGTAGAGGATTCGATGGATTTGTTAAAGAGTGTTGCAATGATTGGTGACAGCACTTGTGATGCTTTTTTGTATATAAAGGGTGGTAAGGTATTTAAATCTCCTGTTTTGTTTTTTAGTGTGTTGATAATAAGGGAGACTTCTGTTGGGTTAGTTGGAGCTAGGAACAGTGTGTTTGGGTAGTTGCCAGTGAGGTAGTCATTGGGTGGGGTATCCGAGCTTGGGATTTTATTGGCAAGGTTTTTTCCTATGGTGGAGAAGAAATCATTGAGTCTGTTTGCTGTTTCAGTAGTTCAGTAGGTGGGAGTTGGGGTTCATCTGGTTTTGTTAGTTCAATTGCGCTATTTCGTGATATCTTTTTGGTTCCTAGAATTTCTGGTAGAGTTTTCCAGGTCTTTTTTATATCACCTCTTAAGTTGGATAATTTCTCATAATACAATTTTTTAGCCCTTCTTATCAGGCTGGTTAGGACTGACATGTAACGTTTTGTTTGGTCTCTGGTTATGTGACCCATTCTGTACTGTTTTTCGTATAGGTGCTTTGTACATGTATTTATGGATTTGAGGATGCTGGGTGTTAGCCAGGGACTGTTCAGTTTCTTAGCTGTCATCTGTTTAGTCTTTTAGGGCAGTGCTTGTTATAGAGGTATTGGGTCTTTTTTAGAAAATTATTAATACATTTGTCAGTATCTGTATAGATTTCTAGCTCAGTGTGCCAGTCAATGTTTGTCACTGCTCACACTCCAACAGCTCGTCAGGTACCAAATACCATTCATCTCCATTCACTCCAATCTAACACGCTCACGCACGCTTGCTGAAAGTCCAAGCTCCGTGCCCACAAAACCTCCTTTAATCCCTCCCTCCAACCTTTTCAAGGATGACCCCCTACCCCGCCTTCCTTACCCTACAGATTTATACGCTCTCCATGCCATTCTACTTTGATCCATTATCTCTAAATGACCAAACCACCTCAACAACCCCTCTTCAGCCCTCTGACTAATACAGTACTTTTATTAACTCCACACCTTCTCCTAATTTCCACACTTTGAATTCTCTGCATAATATTTACACCACATACTGGCCTTAGACAGGACATTTCCACTGCCTCCAACCACCTCCTAGCTGCAGCATTTACAACCCAAGCTTCACACCCATATAAGAGTGTTGGTACCACTATACTTTCATACATTCCCTTCTTTGCCTCCACTGATAACGTATTTTGTCTCCACATATACCTCAACGCACCACTCACCTTTTTTCCCTCATCAGTTCTATGGTTAACCTCATCCTTCATAAACCCATCCACTGACACATCAACTCCCAAATATTTGGAAACATTTATTTCTTCCATACTCCCTCTCTCCAATGTGATATCCAATTTTTCTGTATCTAAATCATTTGATACCCTCATCACCTTACTCTTATCTATGTTCACTTTCAACTTTGTACCTTTACACACCCTTAAAAATGTAACCCTCTTATTCTTACATGTTTTTCAGTCCACACAATATCAGACAGCATGTAAATTTTCAGGAACATAACCATGTGGTGTTGTGCAGGACTACTGTGTTGCATTAAAAACATTTGACATTTAAATTCAATCAATGTAAATTGTCATCAGTTCAAGAGGTGTTATTTTAATAATACTTTTTAAGCACAAATGCAAGCAAAACTAATCGAAGTCTATTTTTAGTACTCTGCAAATCATATCCATGAGACACCCTGTGGGGAGAGTGACATCCTGTGGGGAGTGATACCCTGTGGGGAGAGTGACACCCTGTGGGGAGAGTGACACCCTGTGGGGAGAGTGACACCCTGTGGGGAGAGTGAGACCCTGTGGGGAGAGTGACACTCCTCCAAGAGAAAATACCTCTACCATAAGTCACAAACCATTCAAGCGACACTATTACATTAAAATGATGCAGCGTTAGGTAAGGTAAAACAGAAACAAAATACAGTAGGGCCCCCATACCCATGCATTCGATATCTGCGGTTTCAGTTCTCTAGTTTGCTTTGGCTCAAAAAACCCTTAATTTTGCTTAATAATGGCACTAAAGCACAAAAGTAGAGAAACCGGCACTTCTTCAAAGCCTAAGAGAAGCCTTGAAATGCTTCCTATCAGTGAAAAAGTGTTAATGTTAGACTTATTTTGCATAATCAATCAATTAAACTTTATCACAGGTATATATGTAACTGAAAAATTATTTATATTTAGGGTTTGCTACTATCCATGGTTTCAGGTATCCACGGAAGGTCTTGGAATGCATTCCCTAAGGATACGAGGGGACTACCGTGTAGTATTAATTCACACTGATAACATTATTTTTTTGTTTCCTTTAAGTACAGTATAGGAATCAAGCTATCATATCACTTTAAAATACTGCACTTACCTCAAGTTTAAGTTCCAAACACCCTGAAACTAGGAATGCCACTCCTGCCAAGATACCACCTGTGAACATCCTCGGCAACTGTCTCTTGAGAAGATTGCAACGAGCCAGTAGAGGATATACGAAAGGTATCAAACACGGGAATAAACAGTAGGATAAAGAGAGGGTTCACCACCTGAAAAGGATAAAATCTTTATATTAAAAATTACTGTATCTAAATTATCTATTACATGTATATGGAACATTACTAGTTACTCTTGTATTTATGTATATGCACAGCAAAATGTTTATGCAGACTTGCTTGCTTACATCAATTTTAGAAGGTAACACACTAGATAACTATGCAAGTTATAGACTAAATAAATAAATAAATAAATAAATAAATAAATGAATAAATAAATAAATAAACTGCACACACACGCCTACCTCTGTATTATTTTTCAGTAGAACACCATTTTCCAAGACTGATTTGTTTCAGACATTAGGTATTAATGAGCCAAAGCTGCCACTTATGTTTATAACAGTAAGGCTTTGGTGGAAAGAAGGAAGATCAGGGCAAGACAGTGATGGAACTTATCAAGGTTTAATTTCCTTAGGTTGGCAAGTGTAGTTTAAATTTTCCTCTACAGTAAATCCTCAGTTTAATGGACTTTGGAAATACGGGACAAAATCTGCTAGGTCAACATTTGTTGGTTACAGGATTGTCTATTATTATTAGGACAACATCAAAATAATAATGTCCATATCCACAAAACTAGCCTGTAATTGTTTTACATGATGGTAGGATTGCTAGTGTCCTTTTTTCTGTCTCATAAACATGCAAGATTTCAGGTACATCTTGCTACTTCTACTTACACTTAGGTCACACTACACATACATGTACAAGCATATATATACACAACTCTCTGGGTTTTCTTCTATTTTCTTTCTAGTTCTTGTTCTTGTTTATTTCCTCTTATCTCCATGGGGAAGTGGAACAGAATTCTTCCTTCGTAAGCCACGCGTGTTGTAAGAGGTGACTAAAATGCCAGGAGCCAGGGGCTAGTAATGCCTTCTGTATAAATTACCTAATTTAAAAAGAGAAACTTTTGTTTTTTCTTTTTGGGCCACCCTGCAGAGGTGTCACTAGAGTTGGTGTCACCCGGAGCAGCATCTTTGGTGTCACCCCCATGAAATTCAAGTATGGGGAGGATGGGGGGGAAGGTAAACTCCAGTTATGTCACTACTGCATGACCAGTGACAAATGTTTAGCAATGAAAACATTTAAGGGCCATAAACTGAACAGGAGAATACTTCTCAACTTTATTAATGATAAAATAAATAATTGCAGTAATATTGAGGAAATATAAACTCAAATACCACTTTGAGTACACCAACAGATCCTACATTTATTCATCTTTAACAATGCAAAAAAAAAAAAAAAAAAAAAAAAAAAAAAAAAAAAAAAAAAAAAAAAAAAAAAAAAAAAACTTGAAAAATAAAGAAAAACTTTGCAATATCAGAGAAATACTAGTTCCGATTTGACTCTGAGAACAGGTAACATCTCAATGCATCTGATCTTACATTTTCTTGCCTTCAGTTATGCAAAATCATCTATTACGTCATCAAAATCAATGATTTTCCTTATACATATAGGCTTATTTGTACTTTGTTAATAAATAATAGGCTATATAGAAACAAAGGATTCTTCTCTTATGTTGGTGCAGCACTGTTTTGGGCATTAGTATCACCTTCTTTAGAGGCTCTATGGTGTCACCCCCTAAATGGTGTCACCCTGGGCAGCCTCCCCCCCCTTACAACACCCCTGCCACCCTGCCTTGGTGGGATATGGCCGGTTTGTTGGAAAAAAAAAAAAAAAAATAAAAATAAAAACACCCATCCACCCACCTGCATCTGGTCAGGCTTCAGCGTCCAGCTACCAATTTGTCCATCCATGCGAGTTGCTTGAAAAGTCCATCTTGATCCCTAGAAATGAATACTTTTGAGCTTTATCCCCACTAACGAGATGACAATAACCATAATATACAGTAGTACCTCGGTACTCGAACAGTCCCCAACTCGAGCAATTCAGCATTCAAATGAATCGCTCGGTAGTCGACTGTTTGCTCGGCACTCAACCAAACAATGTGCATCAGTCTCCCCATAGACGTCGCTCAGTGCAAAACTCTACTGAACTTCGCAGTAAACTATTTTGTGCTTCTTTGCATTTTTTTATATTACAGTGGACCCCCGGTTAACGAACTTTTTTCATTCCAGTAGTATGTTCAGGTGCCAGTACTGACCGAATTTTTTCCCATAAGGAATATTGTGAAGTAGATTAGTCCATTTCAGACCCCCAAACATACACGTACAAACGCACTTACATAAATACACTTACATAATTGGTCGCATTCGGAGGTGATCGTTATGCGGGGGTCCACTGTATTTGTATAAATAAGTCACCATGGGGCCTAAGAAGATTAGTGATAACAGCCAACCAAAAAGAAAACTGGTTAGCATCACAATAGAAATGAAAAATTATTATTAATTATTCCTTATTGGAAAAAGTCTACCTGGGTACACAGCCATACACAACTGCAGGCCTGACCAACTAAGAGGAGGCACTGCCATACAGTACTACTCCAATGAAATGGAATGTATGAAATTTACTTGCACGCAAGGGACGACAATGGTTAATACATGATAGCTAAATTCACATCAAAAAACTTAATAAAAAAAAAAAAAAAAAAAAAAAAAAACTATAACAGTTGGAGCAGTCTGCAGATTACCACACACAAATACTTACACTTTTAGTGGTAACCTTGGAAACATGATAACTGACACAGAGTTGAATAAACACCACCTGATACTTACAGGAGACTTCAACATAAACCTCATCCAAGCAACTGACCCTCCAGTAGCTGATTTCACAACTGCTTGCTACTGCCTTCTATAACTAAGCCAGTTCTGAAACTAGCAAGCCAGCCTAATAAGGCTCATTCAACTAGATATTCTATATACCATTGGAAGGTTAGAATGGGTCCCACTGACCACAATGCAAGTTTTTGCACACGAATCTCACATCAAAGTACAGTAATTATGAATGTCTTGATAAATCATAATGACAACTGTAAACAACTGACACAATTGCTTACAATTACATTGTTATGATAATCATGTTGCTAAATCCAACTACTTACATGAACTCAGAAGCCAAAATTAAATAAAAAAAAATACATTCAAACCAAGCACAGTACACAAGCATGTTCTTACACGCAGACATGTACACCACACTGGTCTATTACAGATTACGAGGCTGAGTCACAATGCTGGGCTTCCTTCCCCAAAAGAAGAGATGAGTAGATATAGACTACAACTTAGTTACATTATTATATGATATATGAGTAAGTGAGAGTAAAGGAAATAATATACAACACATACATTACAAAGTAAACTCAAGATAAGTTGAAAATGAACAACTGACAATGTAGTATCTCCTACATGCCAGGACCCCAGTTCAAATCCTTGTCCATCATTCCATTTCTTCACACCACACTGTAAATAACATACCTGTTGATCAAACAATGCCCAGAAGAATGGTAGTGGGATATACAAGAGGAGAATCTTGACCAAGATTTTAACATCACTAATGAGATCCTTGTCATATTTATCCTCAGCATGATCCAACCAGTGCTCCTTGCTCTCCTTAGATTTTATCTTCCGGCCAAGTGCATGCTGAAAGAGAGCAGTTTAGAGTTCACTAACATAACCAGTTCCAATTCTTGCATCAGATGATTGAGTACAGTGTTTTGTTTGTGAATTACTGGAATATGCTCAATAATAACCAACAAGGAGACAAACTTAGAAGATTAATTGACCTATGTTTTGATTCCCTTCTGGGATCCTCTTTAGATCTGATGAAGAGGATCCCAAAATGGGATCAAAATATACAGATCAATTAATCTTTTGAGTTTCTCCCCCTCGAGGGAGGCTTCTGACACTGGTGAGGGGCTCTTGAACTATGGAATTGGATCTGTGCTCCAGTTCCCTAAACTGAGCCTGAGTACCTTCCATACTCCCCCCTCCCACAGGTGCTGCAAAATCCCTGTGGGTTTACCACTCCTTCATGATTATAATAATAGTAATTCTGAGTTTCTCTCTCCATGTGGGTTATTATATATATAAATTAGCTCTGGGGGTTTAATAATGAAAAAATTTCTAAGTACATACTGATAAAGCTTTAAGAAAGACATTGACTATTACTTCAATATTTCAGTACATACTGAAAAAAAAAGTAAAAATATAATATATAAATCAAAAACTCAAATTCAGTTAAACAAATTAACCAATACAAAATTACATTGAAAATTGAACATTCGTAAAGAAACAAAATGAATACAAATTTTAAAATACGTATCTGCTAATGAATAAAAAATTTCTAGAGGAAGTAACAAGTCATTTTGGAAATAAATTTTTTCATTTGCATATGTGTCTAGCTGAACTCCACTTATGAGCTAAAACTAAACAGCTATTTAAATATTTCTATCTCCACAACACTTGTCAGAAAGTTTAAAATCAAAACTGAAATTGTCAAGATATACATCCATACTTTGACAATTCAGTGACCTTGCAGAAGTTGATTTTATGCTCATATAGGCATTTTAAAAAATTTCTGAAGTTAAGATTATCTTGAAATGTTCCACTTCCATAATTGTCTATCATAGGATGTGTAATACTGCTGCAGACAAAATAGCCATATGAATTGTATCTTAGTGTGTACCCACACTAAGATACAATTCAAATCAACTTAGCTGAAAAGACCCCAAACCATCTACTCTCTCCCTTTTAATTTACTTGCTGATAGCAGCAAATTTTCTTTTTAAATTTAGTAATTTATACAGGAGAAGGGGTTACTAGCCCCTTGCTCCCATTAATGTCCTTATATACACATATAATGTTTATTGCCCTTGTAGTCTTAAGTTATGTTTGTTTGCAATCGTGTCATTACGATTTTGTGAGTCAAGTTAAAATTAAGCTTGCCTGAAATGCTCTGCTTAACCATGGGCTTCCTACATGCATTATCAAGTATCACCCACTTTTTGTACAACGTATCACGTGGTAATAAATTTTGAATTTGAATTTGAATTATACAGTACAGAGGGTGTACAGTATTGTCTGCTGGTTAAAGGCATCATCAAAGTAAGCAGCTCATCCGTGACAATGCCTTTAACTTCTGCTCCTCACCCAACTCCAGTATATAAAGGTCCATCTTTCTGTCAGTGCTCCAGTATTAGCTATCATTTTATAGTATTTGTAAATCATGAATCATAAATAGTTTTTTTATTATACAGGCATAAAATTGTCATTATTTCAATCAAATTAAGCACAACCCATCACCTACCCATATGCAGCACCAAACATCAGTCAAAACACTACCCTGGGGTGGCATGAGCTTGTACAGGTGTGCAAGGTATCCAGTCACAAAGATAGCTGAAGAATATGCATAAAAATAAATGTTCTAATTATCATGCATGAAGCTTGAAAACCATTAAGATAAATTGTTAAGTTACCCAAGAAATAATACAAGCCTAGTATCATTTTATCATGCATGCCCATGCAAGGTATAACTAAGTATGTGCTCATGGTTTGGTTGATAGCATCCTCAGGATCCAGAATTGATCCCTGGTCCAGGATTAATCCCTGGCATGGGTGAAACATTGGGTATGTTTTCTTACACCTGCTGCCACTACCTAGTAGTAGGTACATGGGTTAATACGTACCTACTATGCCTATTGTGGATTGCATTCTTGGGAACAAGATTAACCTAAGTAGTGAGAAATGATCTGCATAACCAGGAACTTTCTATTTAGTATGTCAGTGATGTCAGCTAGGTATTAGTTGTATCATATACTTGTAGAAATTAAATTAGAAAAAAGTATAATTACAAGAAACTAAAAAAAAATCTGTAAATTTTCATGTACATAAATTCAGTGTATAGTTATACTGATTTTATTACAAGATAACAGCAGCAACAATGAAGACTGTGGTTAACCATGAGTTACTGTTGGAAATAAGTCACTCTGACTTTTTTGGGTTATCCTAGGTTCTATACACATATGCTGCTGCTTCTACTTTCAACAAACCGGCTGTATCCCACCGAGGCAGGGTGGCCCAAAAAGAAAAACAAAAGTTTCTCTTTTTAAATTTAATAATTTATACAGAAGGGGTAAGTAGCCCTTTGCTCCTAGAATTTTGGTCACCTCTTGCAACACGCATGGCTTATGGAGAAAGAATTCTGTTCCACTTCCCCATGGAGATAGGAAATAAACAAGAACAAGAACTAGTAAGAAAACATAAGAAAATCCAGAAGGGTGTGTATATATATGCATGTACATGTATGTTTACCTGGAGTTTACCTGTGTAGTGAGATCTAAGTGTAAGTACATATGCTGCTATGTATGATAATCAATGTAACTGTATTTGTGTATACATGAATAAAAGCAGGTGGGGATATAGTTTTGGAGTGGTTGGTGCAATTATTTAATAAATGTATGGAAAAAGGTAAGGTACCTAGGGATTGGCAGTGAGCATGCATAGTTCCTTTGTATAAAGGCAAAGGGGACAAAAGAGAGTGCAAAAATTATAGGAGGATAAGTTTGTTGAGTATACCTGGTAAAGTGTATGGTAGAGTTATTATTGAAAGAATTAAGAGTAAGACGGAGAATAGGATAGCAGATGAACAAGGAGGCTTTAGGAAAGGTAGGGGGTGTGTGGACCAGGTGTTTACAGTGAAACATATAAGTGAACAGTATTTAGATAAGGCTAAAGAGGTCTTTGTGGCATTTATGGATTTGGAAAAGGCGTATGACAGGGTGGATAGGGGGGCAATGTGGCAGATGTTGCAGGTGTATGGTGTAGGAAGTAGGTTACTGAAAGCAGTGAAGAGTTTTTACGAGGATAGTGAGGCTCAAGTTAGAGTATGTAGGAAAGAGGGAAATTATTTCCCAGTAAAAGTAAGCCTTAGACAGGGATATGTGATGTCACCATGGTTGTTTAATATATTTATAGATGGGGTTGTAAGAGAAGTAAATGCGAGGGTCTTGGCAAGAGGCGTGGAGTTAAAAGATAAAGAATCACACAAAGTGGGAGTTCTCACAGTTGCTCTTTGCTGATGACACTGTGCTCTTGGGAGATTCTGAAGAGAAGTTGCAGAGATTGGTGGATGAATTTGGTAGGGTATGCAAAAGAAGAAAATTAAAAGTGAATACAGGAAAGAGTAAGGTTATGAGGATAACAAAAAGATTAGGTGATGAAAGATTGGATATCAGATTGGAGGGAGAGAGTATGGAGCAGGTGAATGTATTAAGATATTTGGGAGTGGACGTGTCAGCGGATGGGTCTATAAAAGATGAGGTGAATCATAGAATTGATGAGGGGAAAAGGTGCTCTTAGGAGTCTCTGGAGACAAAGAACTTTGTCCTTGGAGGCAAAGAGGGGAATGTATGAGAGTATAGTTTTACCAACGCTCTTATATGGGTGTGAAGCATGGGTGATGAATGTTGCAGCGAGGAGAAGGCTGAGGCAGTGGCGATGTCATGTCTGAGGGCAATGTGTGGTGTGAATATAATGCAGAGAATTCATAGTTTGGAAGTTAGGAGGAGGTGCGGGATTACCAAAACTGTTGTCCAGAGGGCTGAGGAAGGGTTGTTGAGGTGGTTCAGACATGTAGAGAGAATGGAGCGAAACAGAATGACTTCAAGAGTGTATCAGTCTGTAGTGGAAGGAAGGCAGGGTAGGGGTCGACCTAGGAAAGGTTGGAGGGAGGGGGTAAAGGAGGTTTTGTGTGCGAGGGGCTTGGACTTCCAGCAGGCATGCGTGAGCGTGTTTGATAGGAGTGAATGGAGACAAATGGTTTTTAATACTTGATGTGCTGTTGGAGTGTGAGCAAAGTAACATTTATGAAGGGGTTCAGGGAAACCAGCAGGCCGGACTTGAGTCCTGGAGATGGGAAGTACAATGCCTGCACTCTGAAGGAGGGGTGTTAATGTTGCAGTTTAAAAACTGTAGTGTAAAGCACCCTTCTGGCAAGACAGTGATGGAGTGAATGATGGTGAAAGTTTTTCTTTTTCGGGCCACCCTGCCTTGGTGGGAATCGGCCAGTGTGCTAATAAAATAAAAATGAATAAACTTACTTACCTTCCATATCCCAGGCATTGTATAACTCCTAGTGTTTAGAACTTCCCCATAAATACAAAATAATAACTGGCTTGCTTAAGAAGATTTTACTGGTATTATTAACCCAGGATAACAAAATTAAGTCAGGATATCATCAGACTGTCTGGCTTATTTCCACTGTTTTTCTTTATATCCTCCTTCCCAGGATGCCACCCACACCATTCAGTTAAAAACTGCCTACTAATTACTAAGTAAACAGCATCAGCAGGCATGAGGAAACATGCCCAATGTTTGCGCTTATACCAGAATCGAACCCTGATCTCTCAGAGTGTGAGCTGAGGCCATTTAAAAGCAAAAATACTGATTTAAAGGATTACAAAAAGGATTACAAACTGGGTTCATATATAAATATGATATGTTATAAAACTGTTAATGAGTAAATATTTATTAATAAAAAAATGTTTATAATTAATTTAAAATATGACAAGATGTGCAGAGAAGTGGTTGTTAGTGCAGCATGCCTTCTATAGGACCAAGTGATTAAATAATATATAGAGTAAACCCCTCATATAATGGACTAAGAGGGAAGAGTGGGTGGCTGGTAATAACAATTGTGGTGGACAGAAGAGACTGTTTTACCGTGACAATAAAAATACTGAACAACTCTGTAATCAATGGACTTTCTCCATTGTTTCTGAATCAACTGACTCGATGGATTTTATTCAGTGTATTTCAGGAGTCCATTACAAAGAGGTTTGTTATACTGTAGATTTACTTAAATTTTATTTAAATACCTGTATCATATCAGCCTGAGAAAGATAAATATTAGAGTAAGCCAAAAGAGTACATAAAAGAAATTACATCTTTTATTATTAATTAAATAACCATGGCTTTTACTAATTTCTTACCTCTGACTCAACATGAAGGCTCTACCACAATGCACAACTAAAGTAATGCTCTCGTTCCCCCAAAATATTAATTAGCAAATGCAACTCCCATCACCATGAAGGATTACTGGTGGCACTCACCATAATACAGGACCCCACCCGTATCAGTATATTACCCTCTGGTGGCTTGAGTGTGTACAGCGAATGTCCGGCCAAAAACATAACTGGCGAACATCAATAGCTGCTACAGTATCGATATTTAACTGAGGTTAACATAAAGTAGTACATATTTTGAAAGTTAATTTTTAGTATCAGTAGACTTAATTTAACTCCATATGAAATAAGTTACACTGATTATTGCACTATCCTAGGTTAACTATGTAATGAACTGTCTATGGAATTTGTGGGGTTTGAGACCATGGCTTGCAAGTCCTTCAAAGCAGGCCAGTGCACTATCCACTGGATCATGGTAGTCCAATAATAGTCTTAATAAAGTCAACATGCTCCAGTGGATAATGACACTGGACTGTTAATTTAATGACTGGTTTGCCATGGGTTTAAATCCATTCTGTGATTTGTTTGCAATTGTATCATTACAATTTCATGAATTATTTATATAGGCCTACAACATCAATGTGCCCTCAAAACTACCCACAAAATTTATACTATTGTCTGTAAACATAAAATAAGCAAAATAAAACCATAAATTTTAAGAAGAGTATAGTCTAAATTTTGCCTGAAATGCAATGCATATTTAATAATTATAATAATAATGCATTATGATAATAATATTAATAATAATCACAGGATGCACAGGTGGAGAAGAGATTGAGCAGATGAAAAGTTTTCAGATGACCAAGAGATACTTATGACACAAACAACATCCAATCAAGATTGTTGAGTATTGGAGCAACATCATCTCTCAGTGGTCAGTGGTCAGTCGTCACATGAGGTCACAGACCCTGAGCTGCTTTGGGGATTAGCGTGGAAGGTTACAAAGCATGGCTTGCTTCTGCAGTGTTTTAAAAATTGAAGTTGGAGAGTTGAAGGAGGAGGTCTTGCTTCTCCAGGAGGAGATTAGGAGGCTGAAGGTCCACCTTAATGGGTCTGGGAGAGAGTGTGAGGTGGCTGGAGTTGTGGGGAATGAGGCTTCTAGCAGTGAGATGCAGTCTGTCTCTTGCTGTGAGGAGGCTGTAGGTGGGGAGGTAGCAACGGCTACCAGCAGTGAGGTGCAGTCCAGCACTTGCTACAAGTGGCGAGTGGTAACCAGTAATGGGAGGAGAATCAGAATAAGGAAAGTTAAGAGTGAAGATCTGAAGGTAGGAAATCGCTTCTCTGTTCTTCAGGATGAATGTACTTCAGTGGCCAGTGAAGGTAAGGGTACTACTGCCCCTGCTAACAGAGGTAAACGCATTCTTGTGGTTGGTG